TTTCTTTTCTCTACAATATTTTGTTTCAATCCAGCAAGAAAATCCTTAATACTTTTCACACATATTGCTTTGTATTTGACATTATCCATCTGACATTCAATAAGCAAATGATCTTCCGTACACCTCTTGTACAGAATTTCCTGTAAATTACTTGTCAAATAGAATGCCATGTCAACTGTTGCCAAATGATCTAAAGTTACTGCAGCTAAAGCACTTTTTAATAATTCTTTTCACCTTCTTAGCTTTCCAGACTGAAGGAGATTTTCTATTTTCACTTATCAAAAATATAAAACCAGATGCACTCAAGTTTAACTGTGAAGCATCAATAAATGACTAATTTTACATAATTTTTGATCACCCGAGAATTGAAACTTAAGGACACATTTCTCCATTTTTAAAATTGCTTTATTTATCACTACAACATCCTCGGTTTCGTGACAATACATCAAAACTAACATCCAGTCTTGTCTAAGATAACAAGGTGTAGAGCTGGATGAACACAACAGGCCAAGCAGCATCAGAGGAGCAGAAAAGCTGATGTTTCGGGTCTGGACTCTTCAGCTCTACACCTTGTTATCTCAGATTCTCCAGCATTGGCAGTTCCTACTATCTCTGATCCAGTCTTGTCTGTGTGCTTAACCAATTCAACTGACAATGACGCTTCACAACCATTCTGTCTCCTCTTTGGATGTTACTTAATGTGATTTTAACCAGGGTAGGAGTGACACCTTAAATGGAGTTGCTGATTTAAAGTTTGAAGTCAGGATCATTTGTGACTGGGAGGGGAACTTGCAGGTGTTGGGGCTCCCATGCATCCACCTCTCACATCGTCTAAGTGATCGATGTCACTGGTTTGGAAAATGGTGTCAAAGAGGACTTCATGATTTGTTGCAGTGCATCTAATAGATGGTACACACTGCTGCCACTATGTATGGGTCATGGAGGGAGAGAATGCTGAATAGTGGATGGGAAGCCAATCAAGTAGGCTTGGATGTCCTGTATGGTGTTGAGCTTTGACCAGGACATAGCTAGGCAGTACAGAGTGGTAGGGTTGTAATGGTAATGTCACTGGATTCATAAACCAGAAGCCCATATTAATTTCTCAGGACACAAGTTATGCCAGCTGGTAGAATTTAAATTCATTTAATAAATCTGGAACTACAAAGCTAGTCGTAGAGTATTGCTTACCAAAAAGCATTGCAAAAATCCATATGGTTCACTAATATCTTTTAGGGAAGGAAATCTGCTGTCCTTGCCTAGTCTGACCTACATGTGACTGCGTACCCACAGAATATGGTTGACTCTTATCTCCCTCTGAAATGGCTCTGAAGGTATTCAGATAAAGAAATTGCTACAAAGTCAGAAAGGAATGGAGCTGGAAGGAAAATCAGGTGCCGCTCTAAGCACTGGAAATGATAACAACAATTCAGTTAAAAGCAAAAATAGTGCACGTGCTGGAAATCTGAAATAAAACCAGAGATTGCTGGAGAAACTCATCAGGTCAGGAGAGAGAAAGAGTTTATGTTTTAAGTCCAAAGATTCTTCTCCTGAACTGGCAAATGCAATCCTTCCTACTATCTGAAGGTTACTGCCAGAATTGGAAGAGCTGTCCCACAGACTAGTCAAGGAACACCTGACATAGCCATACACACTAAAACAGCAAAGTATGCAGCTAAGAAAATTGAATGCAAATTTAAGTTTGGTGATGGGGAGTTCAGATTTAAGAACAAAATTAGAAAATTAATCTAATATGTAATTAGCAGTAACCGGTAAGTACCGTAGAAGCAATGAACCCTCTAATTTTTGTGCGCCTCTCTAGAAATCAGAGTGGCCTGTTAATCAGAGTGGAATTCATACAGCAGAAAATACTGGAGTGCATGCAGTTTTCTTTTACTGCTACGCGGCCACACGAGAACTGCCTACATGGAATATCATGTATAAGTAAACAAAGGTTCCTTCTTGCTGCTTAGACGTGATAAACACAGTCTACTGTGAGAACTAATTACCTAACTGGTTGAATTTGATTTCTCTAGACCCAGTTCAGTTGGCTGTAGGTGTCGCATTCTTCAATGCAGCCAAAGCGAGTGAGTAGGCAATTGTGTGGAAACCTGGGAGTTTGATGCATAAGCAGTTCAGTGAAAGGAGAAGGAGGTGTTCGTTTCCTATTGCTTTCTTGCCCCATAGGAAATGGGCTTTGCTCTGATACAGGGAAAGGAGGTTGTCATATGGTGAGTAAGTGGTAAGTTCATAATCTCTACTCCATTCTTAGTTTTAACATTGTATACAAATTGGTTGTAATGTTAATAAACTATATAGAGAGCAAAATAAATAAATGAATAATACAATGAAAGAATTCCTTTTATGCTCTTCATAATGTGACAGGATTCATTTATGACTTTGAAGTAAAGGCAGCCCTCAAGAAAAAGACTGCAATATGATTGAATTTGACTTGCAGTTTGAAAGAGAGAGGTTTTTTTTTAAAAAAACTTAAATGAGGACAACTATATGGGCATGAAACTGAGCTTATTGCAGTGAACTGGGATACTGGACGAGGGGATATATCAATAGAGACACAGTTATAGACATATATGGGGATATTTCAGAATAAATGCATTCCTATAATAAAGTTCTAAAGGGTGGACCCACCGTCTATGTTTAACCAAAGTTAGGGAAAGCATCAAACTTGATGAAAAAAACACATAATTACATCAAGGTGAGTGGCAAGTCAGATGATTGGTCAGAATATTTAAAATAAAACACAGGTTGAGTAAAATATTAATCAGGAAGTAGAAATTAAAACAGGAGCGGTAACTAGCTCAAAGTTTAAAACTGGATAAGAAGAGTTTCTACAGGTACTTTAAAAGGAAGAGTAAGTAAAGAGTGTTGGTCTTCCAAAAGGGGAAGTTCATAGCAGATAACAAGGAAATGGTGGATGAAATAAAAAATATATACTTGCCTTCATATTGAAGATAGAAAAACTTCCAATAATAGCTGTAAATCAGGAGCTTGAAGGGAAGGGTGGGTCAGGGAAGCCAAAACAGAGTTCTGAAGAAGTCATATTGGACTCGAATTTTAACTTTGTTTCTTTCTCCACAGATGCTGCCTGAGCGTATCAGCTTTTGCCGTTTTCATTCAGATACCAAGCACATGCATGCTTTTTGTGACAGTATTTGTTAATGGTTTGAGATTTTCAAATTAGCGTGTTTTAAAATTTAGTGGTGTTCCTTTAACAATCAGCCCGACAGGCAGATTCCATGTGGACTCTGAGATGCAATTCTGCACACGGCGGCTTTTGTTGCTTGTCTGTCTCCTCAAGTCAGCTACATAACTGAGCCGCTCCATTCACAGAACAGGGCAGTTTCACGTACGCGTCGCATTGTGGGTAATATAGTCGCCATTGCTAATACTCCCGGAAATTGTTGCCAGTTTGCACGATTTGGCTGTAATTCAGGAAGTTCAACTGCTGTGGCACTTCATGGAATAGGGATACTCCATAAGCTCCTCGATTCCGCACACGGGCCATTTTACCGATAACTACAATTTCAAACTGATGTCCTCGAACTGATATCAATTCCAGTTCTGAAGAAGGGTCACTAAACCCGAAACGTTAATTCTGCTTTCTCCACAAATTATGCCAGACTGGCTGAGTTTCTCCAGTATTTTCTGTGTTCCAGTTTTTTTTTCAATACTATCTGTTTCTTTTTAGCTAGCCTGTAACTCAGCGTGGCAACTTTTAATGAATTTCAATTCGAATTGGCAACCAAACATTTCCTGACAGATAAGCAGAAGGTGAAATGGCTTAGAACAATCAAACCACCATTTGTACAATATTCACATCACGTACATTGCTGAAACTGTAACTCCTTCCAACCAAACTGCGAACAACTCTCCAACGACGAATCTGAAAATAGACTCTGACTCCCGTTCTCGATTTTGTCCTTTCCATTCCACTTCTGTTATGGCCGTGCCAACTTTTTATAGTTATTTCCGAATTTCAGATCCATTCTTTATCAGAACCTGAAATTGTTCAGTGAATTGTAGCGCTGGGATGACGTTTAAAGGTGCTCGATCAATGCAATATTTTGCTGTTGTTGAAGAGGGTTTTGGAAATCGTGCCTGACTGAAGAGATAAGGGATTGTGTTTTGCCAGTGGTCCACACCGATTGCGGATCAAAACGGGAGCCAGTTACGGCATTCTCCGGAGGAAGAATGTTGCGTATGTGAAACAAGCTCAAATTTCCTAATGTAAAGCACAAGCAGCCCGATTCTTGCAAAATGCTGCAAGAACTAGTCAAGCTAAATTAAATATTCCGCATCTGTTGGGCCAAGTAGATCGGTTCACTGGACAGATTGTCCCCTCTTTGAGGGACCTGCACTTTCGAAAGTTGCAACGAACGGACGTAGCCCGCCGAGCACAAGGGGGCACTGCAGTCGGAGGAGTCACAAAGCAGTGCGGATGCTAGAAATGTAAAATAAAAACAAAAACGAAAACAACATTTCTGAAGAAGGGTCTAGGCCCGAAACGTCAGCTTTCCTGCTCCTCTGATGCTGCTTGGCCTGCTGTGTTCATCCAGCTCTACACCTTGTTATCTCAGATTCTCCAGTTCCTACTATCTCTGCTGCGGAAACCTGGTAGGTCTGCGGGGAAAGCAACCGAGTTCGCGCTTTGACGCCAGTGAGGCTCTTCAGAACTAGAGGGTGTTGGGGCACGGGCAGCAACGGCCAGGCTAGGAGGTCCTCCGGGCGTTAGGTGGCGGTGCACTTAGAGGAAAAGACGGCTGAAGGTACAAAAACAAAGTTGCTGGAAAAGCTCAGCAGGTCTGGCAGCATCTGTGAAGGAGAAAGACGGCTGAAGGTAATTGGAACAGCCAGGAGAGGTAATCCTCCCACAGAATAAAGTGGCGGCTGAATGGAATGGGCCATGCCGATGCTCCTCCGAGCCGCCAGGTGGGGATGTATTTGGAGGAGATGGCGGCGGCCCATTGGCATGAGCAAGGGCGGTGGTCCTCCGAGCCGCGAGGTGGCGCTGCGCTTGGAAGACTGTGTTTGATGCCCGGGTTTCGGCTCTTGCCCGGAAAAGGGCCGCAAATAACTGGCAGGGCGGCATGTGGCTACTCCGAGGGTTGAAACTGAGAAGCGGTGGCTTTGGGCCCAGGTTTGTGTCTGGCTTCCTGGCCGGATCGTTGTTTGGTTCCACCGGTTGTGCCCTAGCCCTGCACTGGTACAGGGAGCAAGAACCGGAGGAGGACCAGCGAGGTAAGGGGCCTATCAAACCTGGAATGAGGGAGGGAGGGAGGAAAAGGGACCAGTCCAATGCTAAATAAAAACCAAAAGAACTGCGGATGCTGTAAATCAAGAACAAAAAGAATTGCTGGAAAAGCTCAGCAGGTCTGGTAGCATCTGTGGAGGAGAAAACAAGAGTTAACGTTTCAGACCTTTCCTCAGAAGGGTCTCCGGACCCGAAACGTTAACTCTGTTTTCTCCTCCACGGATGCTACCAGTCCAATGCTGTTGGGAGAAGGGTAGGTCCAGTCCTGGAATGGGGCGGGGCTACGGGCAGGTCTATTCCTGGAATGGGGGTGGGGGGAAACGGATGGGCAGGTCCAATTCTGAAACAAAAACAAAGTTGCTGGAAAAGTTGTCCTCAGATGTCCTTGTTTTTCAAGGACCGCAACAACCCCCCCCCTCCCCGCCAACAGTGGTCGAGAACGCCCTCGACCGTGTCTCCCGCAACTCATCCCTCACACCCGCTCCCCGCAATAACAACCAAAACAGAATCCCCCTCGTCCTCACGTACCACCCCACCAACCTCCGGATCCAACGCATCATCCTCCAACACTTCCACCATAGACATTTTTCCCTCCCCACCCTTATCTGCTTTCCGGAGGGACCACTCTCTCCGTGACTCCCTTGTCCGCTCCACACTCCCCTCCAGCCCCACCACACCCGGCACTTTTCCCTGTAACCGCAGGAAGTGCTACACCTGCCCCCATACCTCCCCCCTCACCCCCATCCCAGGCTCCAAGAAGACTTTCCACATCAAGCAGATGTTCACCTGCACATCTGCTAATGTGGTATACTGCATCCACTGTTCCCGTTGTGGCGTCCTCTACATCAGGGAAACCAAGCGGAGGCTTGGGGACCGCTTTGCAGAACACCTATGCTCGGTTCGCACTAAACAACTGCACCTCCCAGTCGTGAACCATTTCAACTCCCCTTCCCATTCCTCAGACGACATGTCCATCCTGTGTCTCCTGCAGTGCCACAACGATGCTACCCGAAGATTGCAGGAACAGCAACTCATATTCTGCTTGGGAACCCTGCAGCCCAATGGTATCAATGTGGACTTCACAAGCTTCAAAATCTCCCCTCCCCCTACCACATTCTAAAACCAGTCCAGCTCGTCCCCGCCTCCCTAACCTGTCCTTCTTCCCACCTCAAGCTCCACCCCCATCTCCTACCTACTAACTTCATCCCACCCCCTTGACCTGTCCGTCCTCCCTGGACTGACCTATTTCCTCCCTACCTCCCCACCTACACTCACCTTTACTGGCTCCATCGCCGCCTCTTTGACCTGTCTGTTTCCTCTCCACCTATCTTCTCCTCTATCCACCTTCTATCCGCCTCCCCCTCTCTCCCTATTTATTTCAGAACCCTCTTCCCCTCCCCCATTTCTGAAGAAGGGTCTAGGCCCGAAACGTCAGCCTTCCTGCTCCTCTGTGCTGCTTGGCCTGCTGTGTTCATCCAGCTCTACACCTTGTTATCTCAGATTCTCCAGCATCTGCAGTTCCTACTATCTCTGAAACAATTTTAACCCCACTGCAAAGCCTCTTCTAAGGATGCCTACCCTGAAGAAGTTACCCTCCTCCCTCCGGAAAAACCTCAGTGGATCTCTCTCCCACTGCAACTCTCTCGTAATGTCTTCAGTCTTGAAACTGCTTGACCATGTCCTGAAGCAAACCAGGTACTACAGCCACATCACCTTTCTTAGTACCTGCCTACGGAACCTGATCATCCACATTCAGGCCTTCCCAATTTGGCCCCAACCCTGATAATGTCTACATTCAGAACTTTGAGATCCTTCAGAAGCGTTTCTCCCTGCGACTCCTGAAAAACACACTCGCAGCAATGCGCCAGCATCTCCTGGCACTACAATCAAGCCTACCCCAGCTCAGAGCCTCCCTCTCCCAGACCTGCAAAGGACCTCCTATTTTTTATTCTTCATAGGATCCACAGCCTGTACTCACAATTCTACTCAGCTTTATTGGACACTAAAAACCGTAAGTACAGTAAACCTACTGGTGCCTACCACCCAAATCGGGCTACCTCCACCTCCCAAATCCCCAACCGTACCCAGGACCTTCCCCACAATGTGCCCACAGCCATTGGCCATGTGGCCACTGTCGGAGCACCCACGGATGACATCACATCCGCCGGGTACACCACTTCCGGGACAGCGAACGCCATCGACACCGCTGCTGATGCCACCGCTGCTGATGCCACCGCCTCCATTTCCGAGGCCAACACCATAGACACTGAGGATGCACCTACCGTCTCCGCCGCCGCCGCCTACCCCGCTCCCCCCCACTGTTGACGCCGCTCTGCCCACCACCGACACTGACGCAACTCTGCCCACTGCCGACGCCGATGCAGCTCCGCCCACTGCCACCGCCAACGTCGCTCCGCCCACTGCCTCCACAGCCAGCAGCTCCAGAGGAGACAGCAACACCCAGCCCTGCCGAGTCTTCACCATCCCCCCAGATCTCCCTCTTACTGAGGGCGAACGGTCAGTCCTCAGTAAAGGGCTCACCTTTGTCCCCCTCCACCCACACATCAGCAAATACCGGTCACGTTTGGACGTTGAGCAGTTTTTCCGCCGCTTCCGCCTCCTTCAACCGTGAACCTAACCCTCCCTCTACTGACCCCTTCTCCCGCCTCCAACACACCCCCTCCTCCTGGACACCATCCCAAGGCCTCCTACCCTCCCTGGACCTCTTCATCTCCAATTGCCGTCAAGACATCAATCGCCTCAACCTCTCCACCCCTCTCACCCACTCCAACCTCTCCCCCACAGAACGTGCAGCCCTCCGCTCCAATCCCAACCTCACCATAAAATCTGCGGACAAGGGAGGCGCAGTTGTATTATGGCGCACTGACCTCTACATCGCCGAGGCCAGACGCCAACTCTCTGACACCTCCTCCTACCGCCCCCTTGATCATGACCCCACCCCCTTGATCATGACCCCACCCCCGAGCACCAAACCATCATCTCCCAAACTATCCACAACCTCATCACCTCAGGTGACCTTCCACCCACGGCCTCCAACCTCACCGTTCCCCAACCCTGCACCGCCCATTTCTATTTCTTTCCCAAAATCCACAAACCTGACTGCCCTGGTCGACCCATTGTCTCCGCCTGCTCCTGCCCCACCGAACTTATCTCCACCTATCTCGACTCCATTTTCTCCCCCTTAGTCCAGGAACTCCCTACCTACGTCCGTGACACCACCCACACCCTCCACCTCATCCAGAACTTCCAATTCCCCGGTCCCCAACACCTCATCTTTGCCATGGATGTCCAGTCCCTATACACCTGCATTCCCCATATAGATGGCCTAAAGGCCCTCCGCTTCTTCCTGTCCCGCAGGCCCAACCAGTCCCCCTCCACTGACACCCTCATCCGCTTAGCCAAACTCGTTCTCACCCTCAACAACTTCTCTTTCAATTCCTCCCACTTCCTACAGACAAAGGGGGTAGCCATGGGTACCCGCATGGGCCCAAGCTACGCCTGCCTCTTTGTAGGTTACGTGGAACAATCCCTCTTCCGTACCTACACTGGCCCTAAACCCCACCTTTTCCTCCATTACATTGATGACTGTATCGGCGCCGCCTCGTGCTCCCACGAGGAGCTCGAACAGTTCTTCCACTTCACTAACACCTTCCACCCGAACCTTAAGTTCACCTGGACCATCTCTAATACCTCTCTCTCCTTCCTGGACCACTCTGTCTCCGTCTCCGGCAACCACCTAGAAACCGATATCCATTTCAAGCCCACCGACTCCCACAGCTACCTAGAATACACCTCCTCCCACCCACCTTCCTGCAAAAATGCCATCCCCTATTCCCAATTCCTTCGCCTCCGCCGCATCTGCTCCCAGGATGAGGCATTCCACTCCCGTACATCTCAGTTGTCCTCATTTTTCAAGGACCGCAACTTCCCCCCCTCAGTGGTCGAGAACGCCCTCGACCGTGTCTCTCGCATTTTCCGCAACTCATCCCTCACATCCCCTCCCCGCAATAACAACCAAAAAAGAATCGCCCTCGTTCTCACTTACCACCCGACCAACCTCTGGATTCAACGCATCATCCTCCGACACTTCCGCCATCTGCAATCCGACCCCACCACCAAAGACATTTTTCCTTCCCCACCCTTATCTGCTTTCCGGAGGGACCACTCTCTCCGGGACTCCCTTGTCCGCTCCACACTCCCCTCCAGCCCCACCACACCCGGCACTTTTCCCTACAACCACAGGAAGTGCTACACCTGCCCCTACACCTCCCCCCTCACCCCCATCCCAGGCCCAAGAAGACTTTTCACATTAAGCAGATGTTTCACCTGCACATCTGCCAATGTGGTATACTGCATCCGCTGTTCCCGTTATGGCCTCCTGTACATCGGGGAAACCAAGCAGAGGCTTGGGGACCACTTTGCAGAGCACCTACACTTGGTTCGCACTAAACAACTGCAACTCCCTGTCGCGAACCATTTCAACTCCCCCTCCCATTCCTCAGACGATATGTCCATCCTGGGCCTCCTGCAGTGCTACAATGGTGCCAACCAAAGGTTGTAGGAACAGCACCTCATATTCCGCTTGGGAACCCTGCAGCCCAGTGGTATCAACGTGGACTTCACAAGCTTCAAAATCTCCCCTCCCCCTACCGCATCCCAAAACCAGCCCAGCTCATCCCCGCCTCCCTAACCTGTCCTTCCTCCCACCTATCCCCTCCTCCCACCTCAAGCCCCACCCCATCTCCTACCTCCTAACCTCATCCCACCCCCTTGACCTGTCCGTCGTCCCTGGACTGATCTATCTCCTCCCTAACTCCCCACCTACACTCACCTTTACTGGCTCCATCCCCGCCTTTTTGACCTGCCTGTCTTCTCTCCACCTATCTTCTCCTCTATCCATCTTCTATCCGCCTCCCCCTCTCTCCCTATTTATTTCAGAACCATCCCCCCATCAAGGGTCTCGGCCCGAAACGTCAGCTTTCCTCCTCCTCTCATGCTGCTTGGCCTGCTGTGTTCATCCAGCTCTACACCTTGCTATCTGTTATGCTGGAAAAGTTCAGCAGGTCTGGCAGCATCTGTGAAATTCTGGATGTGGGGGTGGGGTAACGGGCAGGTCCAATCCTGGATGGGGTGGGAACAGGAAGGTCCAATCCTGGATGAGGGGGGAGGGGTGGGTGTAATGGCCAGGTCCAATCCTGGATGTGGGGGATAATGGGCAGGTCCAATCCTATATGGGGGAATGGGATGGTCCCATGTGAAGTTGGTGGGTGTGAGGTTGTGGTGGGGTAGGGTGAAGTTTGCTGGTCCAATCCTGGATGTGAGGGTGGGGTGTAGATGTAATCCAAGTATTTTACCTGAGGCCCGGTGTCACTATTGTCAACTTGCCTGTTATTTATTCATTAATACTCATTTATGGGATTTGGGTGTCACTGGATAAAACATTTATGAACCATCCCCAATTGCCCAGAGGGCAAATAAGAGTCAAAACACTGAGTCACATGTAGGCTAGGCCAAGTAAGGATAGCCGTTTCCTTCCCTAAAGTACATTAGTGAACCAGATGATCATTTTTCTCATCACCATTACATGAACCACTTTAGTAATTTCAGATTTTCTCACATTTAAATAGCACCAATTGCCAGAGTGGGATTTGAGCCTGCCTCCCCAGAAAATTAACCACGGCCTCTACATTGCATTGAAACAATCTCTAGGTGCCTCAAGAGTGTTCCCAAGCAAAACATAGACACAAAGAAGCCACAAAAAAGAAGGGGCCTGGTGACCGCTTGATGATGGCCTAGTGGTGTTGTTATCCTGGGATTCCTATTGACCAGAAACTGAACTGGACTCGCCACAGAAAAACTGTGGCTACAAAAGCGGGTCAGAGGCTAGGGAAACTGCGGCGAGTAACTCGCCTCCTGACTCCTCAAAGCCTGTCCGCCATCTACAAGGCACAAGTCAGGAGTGTGATAGAATACTCCCCACTTGTCTGAATGAGTGCAGCTCCAACAAAACTCAAGAAGCTTGACACTATCCAGGACAAAGCAGTCCACTTGATTAGCACCACATCCACAAGCACGCCCTCCATCATTGAGGGTCTGCAGTAGCAGTGTGTGCAGAAATTCACCTAAGAACCATAGACAGCATCTTACAAATCCACGACCACTTCCATCTAGAAGGACAACAGTAGCAGACGCATGGGAACACCACCGCCTGCAAGATCCCTTCCAAACCACTCACCATTCTGACTTGGAAATATATCACCAATCCTTCATTGTCGCTGGGTTAAAATCCTGGAACTTCCTCCCTATGGGCATTGTGGGTTTACCTACAGCATGTGGACTGCAGTGGTTCAAAAAGGCAGCTCACCACCACCTTCTCAAAGGCAGTTCAGGACAGACAATAAATGCTGACCCAGTCAGTGATGCCCACATCCCATGAGAGAATATAAAAATAACATGCTTGTGAAACACTCAATGGGAATTAATATACCTGATTCCTACAGCCTAATCTCTTCTCATTGTCTGACCTAAGAGAGCACAGTCCCAGAGAGACAGTGTCCCAGGTGAACCAGATCTAGATCTGAACAACAGAAATGTACTGCTCAGGTTGTATAAGGCTCTGATCAGACCATGTTTTGAATATTGTAATCAGTTTTGGGCCTGTATCTAAGGAATGATATGCTGATTTTGGAGGGGTTCCAGAGGAGGTTTACAACAATGATCTCAGGCATGAAGGGCTTGTCATGTGAAGAGCAGTTGAGGATTCTGTATCTGTACCTAATGGAGTTTAGAAGAATGAGGAGGAATCTGATTGAAACTTACAGAATACTGAGTGGACTAGATAGAGTGGATGTGGAAAAGATGTTTCCATTAGCAGGAGAAACTAGGACCTGAGGGCACAGCCTCAGAAGGAAGGTACAACCCTTTAGAACTGAGATGACAAGTAATTTCTTCACCAGAGGTGTGACTCTGTGGAACTCATTGCAGCAGAGGCCAAGTGGGAGACCAAGTCATTGAGTGTACAGGTAGTTCTATAACATGATAGATTTGTTCTTGTGTGACCTTGTGCTATAGAAAATCGTTATACCTGTACAGCAGAAAGTTTGCATTATCCAAACAGCATCCACAATTCATCAATTTTGTTACAGCCAATGCGCGTTAACGAAACAGGCGTTTTAGCAGAAATACCTGTATTTAAGACAGAGATAGGTAGGTTTTTGATTGGTAAGGCGATTGAGGGTTACAGGGAGAAGGCAAGAGAATGGGATTGAGTAACATACCAGCCATGATCAAATTGCAGAGCAAACTCAATGGCCCGAATGGCCCATTTCTGCTCTTACGTCTTATGGTCTAAAGATATCTGTTACATGGGCATGCCACCATCTGCAAGTGCCCATCCAGGTCCCACACCACCCTGACATGGAAATACATCTCCATTCCTTCAATATTGGGTTAAAAACGTGGAACTGCATCTCTAACAGGCCTGTGGCTGGATCTGCATGACATGGATTGGCTTGACTCATTACCACCTTCTCAAGGGCACTCACGGATACATAATAAGTACTAGCCTTCCCAAGGACACCCACAACTCCATAAATTAAGTTTAAAAATTGTCCTGTGCCCTGTTTAGCACATGTGAGACAGGAGCTGTAATAACCACATGATAAATGTTAGGCAGCTTTGCCACTCACTTCCCACTATGCTCAATGTTAATATATAATTAAAAAGGCTCTGTTATCAGTGCAAACATTGTAGTCATAATACTCTATTATAAAGTTGATTATCCATTGAAAATAAAGAAGGTAATTGGTAGGTATCTGTGTAGTACTAATGTCACTCTAGTTGTCAGTCGATATGGTTTATTTAAAAATTGTTACGTATTAATGTCTGTCTCTTTGACTGATGCTCACAACTGACAACATCTCTTTTCACAGAGCATATAAAGGATAATTTGATAGAAAAGTATGGCTTGCCTGTGACAGGCACAGATGTACGCCATTGCACCAATCATGTATCATCGTATGATCAGGCTAAGCGGACTCCTCGATGGGTTCTCGAGCATATTACAAAAGGAAAGCTGCAAGGTACAAATCTCTTGATGTTTTTGCCTCATGTTTATACTATTGTTATAAGCCGGGTGACTAATCATTCCCCAACCTTCTGCACTGTACCTTCCTCATTCTCTATCTCTACAAAGTTGCTGTTCTGCACAGCGTTTGACAAAGATGACCCAGACTATTCAAAGCTCCAGGAGGGGGAGGTGCAAATGAAGCATAAAATAATTTCAGTCACCAGCTTAGAGATTTGACAGGATGAACAGAGTATCAGGCTTGAATTGTGTACAGTGTCAGTCTCCTTGTTTATGGAGGGTTATACTTACATTGGTGGCAGTTTGGGGATGGTTAGAATCACAGAATCCTGACCGTGCAGAAAGCGGTCATTCGGCCCATCACACCAACCCTCTAAAGAGCATCCCACCCAGACCCACCCTTAGCTCTCTAACTCTGGCTACCTCACCTAGCATGCTCATCCCTGGACACTATGGGCAATTTAGCTTGGCCATTCCACCTAACCTGCACACCTTTGGACTGTGGGAGGAAACCAGAGCACCCAGAGCAGACATGGGGCGAGTGTGCAAACCCTGCACAGACAGTTGCCCGAGGATGGAATCGAACCCGTGTGTGTGGCAGCAGTGCTAACCACTGAGCCACCGTGCCGCCCTCAGTTTCATTTGCTCGATTCTCGGAAGAGCTTATCTTATGAGGAAAGCTTCAGTAGGTGGGGCCTACATTCATTGGAGTTTAGGAGAATGAGAGGTGATCTTGTACAATATTGGGGAGGCTTCACAGGGTAGATGCTGAGAAGATGTTTCCCCTCATGGGAGAATCTAGAACGAGGTGATATTGTTTACAAATAATTTAATCTCCATTTAATTTAGAGATGAGGAGAGTTTTTTTTCCGGATTGTCATTAGTCTTTGGGATTCCTTCCACCAGAGAGCAGTGGAGGCTAGAAAACTAAATATACTCAAGACTGAGTTAGACAGATTTTTGAATTGTCGAGAATTCAAGGGGAAGATGAATGAAAGCCAAACATGGATCAAAGAGCTGAACTCCAGAAATGAGGTGGAGTCTTTTCCACATAGTGCAAGATCATTTTCATCTTCTCCCCACTTTCCTCTGGAATTACAAAACTTGAGAACAGTAGAACACAGGAGACCCACCGGGGATTGTGCTATTTCTTTTGAAAAGCATTTCTGCATATTTTCAAGAATTTAAATGGCTCTTTTTCGATTTTAAGACCATAATGCCATAAGACATAGGAGCAGAAATTAGGCCATTCAGTCTGCTCTGCGATTCATTCATGGCTGATAAATTTCTCAAAGAACCTATCTATCTCCATCTTAAATGTACTCAATGACCTGGCCTCCACAGCCTTCTGTGGCAGTGAATTCCATGGATTCACCACACTTTGGCTGAAGAAATTTCTCCTTATCTCCGTTCTAAAAGGTCTTCCCTTTACTCTAAGGCTGTGCCCTCAAATCCTAGTCTCTCCTACCAATGGAAACATCTTCCCAATGTCCACTCTGTCCAGGCCATTCAGTATTCTGTAAGTTTCAATTAGATCTCCCCTCATCCTTCTAAACTCCATCGAGTGTATACCCAAAGTCCTCAAACTTTCCTCATAGTTAAGCTTTCATTCCTGGGACCATTCTCGTGAACCTCCTCTGAACCCGCTCCAGGGCCAATACATCCTTCCTGAGATATAGATGTAGGTCTAAAACTGTGCACAATTATTTAAAAGGTGGTGGCGGGGAGGGGGAAGGCTTCTCCTCTTTCCTGCCTGTGGTTCTTTTGCCAATTACCTTAAGGCTGTCCCCTTCCGGTTAGCGAAAGCTCAGGGTCTTCACCTCTTGTTGCCAGATTGGAGGTGTGGAGCTGGGCAGAATGTCTTGATCATTTCTTGCTTAGTAATAGTTCTCAGGAGAAAACCTGAGAGGTGCTGAAAGGCCCAGTGCTAACAGTAAGAGTGTGTTCACTTTGGGATGCGTCTTGACACAGGGGAAGCAGATCGGAAGCACTGCAAGTTTAAGCCAGATCCCAACATTCCGCCACTGTTCAGTGCGACGAACGAAGACTACATCCGCAGCGGATGGAGCCGTGGTCACATGGCTCCAGCAGGAGACAACAAGTTCTCAGCGGTAAGGAAGGAAAGGACAAGAGTGTTTTCTTAATGTGTGTGTGAGTGTGGAAGGTGAAGAAACTCCTCGGAAGGTCTCACAGGAACAGGAGCTGCCCATTCAGTCCATTGAGCTTGCCCCACCATTCAATGGCTGATCAGACGCTTCAATACCTTTAACCCACCCCATTCCCATAATCCTGTACACCCCCCCGATAATCAGAAATCTATCAATCTCTATTAAACTATGCTCAAAGACTGAACCTACACAGCCCTGTGTGGTAGAGAATTTCAAAAGTTCACAACCCTCTGAGTTAAAAAAAATCTCCCAATCTTGGACGTAAATGGCATTCCCCCCTCCCCCCTCTTATTTTTAAAGCGAAATCCCTAGTTTTAGACTCCCTGAGGAGGGGAAGAATCTTACCTGCAACTACTCTGTCTGTCACGTTAAGTATTTTGTAGATTTCAATAAGATTACTTCTCCTTTGAAACCCGAGAGAATACAGCCGCAGTTTGCCGAATATCTCTTCATAGGACCGTCCTTCCATCCCGAGAACAGGTCTCGTGAACCTTCTTTGTACTCCCTCAATGGCAATGAGATCAGGTGACCAAAACTGCGTACACTACTCCAGGTGCAGTCTAACCAACTCTCATACAGTTGAAGCAAGACTTCACTATTCCTGTACACAAGTACACTTGTAGTAAAAAGTAAAGTCACCATCATTAAAGCAGACCATGGGGCTGCTCTCTCATTAGAGAGAGAGAGAGGGAGAGATGACTGGTGATGGTTTAGCCTCAAGGTCACCACACCTCAGGCAAGGGAGAGACTGAGAAGGAGAGTCCTTCATGGTAACCTCAGCTAGTGTGGGAATTGAATCTGTGCTGTTGGAATCACTCTGCATCTTAAAACAGCCAACCAGCCAAGGAGTTAACTGACCCCCATCTCATTGTAAAGGCTAACATTCCATCAGCCATCCTAATAACTTGTTGCATCCATGTGTTAGCATTCAGTGACTTATCTACAAGGACACCTAGCTCTCTTTTTGCACCTACACTTTCCAACCTTTTGCCATTTATAAAATACTGTGCATATTGGTTTGCCCTACCAGAGTGAATGACCTCACATTTTTCCACATTACATTCCATCTGCTATGTACTTGCCCAGTCATTAAGCCCATTCAAGTCTTCCTGAAGCCGTTTTACATCTTCCTGACAACACACATTCCCAGTTAGCTTTGTATCATCAACAAATTCGGAAGTACCACATTTGATCGCCACCTTCAAATCATTAATATATATTGTCTGCCAACATGAGAATGACCCATGTATTCCTACTCTCTGTTTTCTGTCTGTTAGCCAATCATTCATCCATGCCAGTCCATTTCTCTCCTATCCCATATGCTTTATTTTTTTGAACCAGCCTCCTGTGGGGGCTTTTATCAAAAGTCTTCTGAAAATCTAAGTTTACTATGTCCATCAGCTCTCATAGAATCCCTGTAGTGTGGAAGCAGGCCATTCAGCCCATCAGTCCACTCTAGCTCTCTGAAGAGCATCCCACCCAGACCCCATCCCTGCATTTCCCACCCTAAAAACTGTGGGCAATTTAGCATGGCCAATCCACCTAACTTGCACATCTTTGGACTGTACGAGGAAACAGGAGCACCGCCCACAGAGACAATGAGTAAATTCTACACAGACAGTCGCCCAAGGCTGGCATCGAACTCAGGTCCCCAGCGCTGTGAGGTAGCAGTGCTAACCACTGAGCCACTGCATCCTGCTCCTTTGCAAAGTCCCAGCCAATATTTCTCCATTACCTTGGATCACTAAAAGATATTTGCCTTAGCTAGGCGATATGACATTGCTGTTTCTGGGGTTAATGCCATTTTCTATCCTTGTGCCCAAGCCGATTTTGATTATCTCTAGCATGCTGAGCATATTTGCCTGAGAATGGATTGCTTTATTGATGACTTTGGCTTTCCATATGTTAACAGCAGGGTAACATAGACAATGGGGTTGAAATTTATTGAGCCTTTGATCTGGCAGGTGTAAGTTGTGTAGGGTTTGCTGCACAAAGCAATGTGCAGAAGATATAGAACATCGAACAGTACAGCACAATACAGGCCCTTTGGCCCAAATGTTGTGCCGAACATTTACCCTAATCCGAAGGTCTATCTAACCTCCACCCCTACCTTATACTATCATCCATATGCCTATCTAGTAGCCGCTTAAATGCCCCTAACGAGGCCGACTCCACTACCCTCTCTGGCAATGCATTCCACACCCCGACCACTCTCTGAGTAAAGAACCTACCTCTGACGTCTCCCCTGTATCTACCTCCACTCACTTTAAAACTATGCCCCCTCGTAATAGCTACCTCCACCCTATGAAAATGTCTCTGGCTGTCTACTCTATCTATACCTCTGATCATTTTGAACACCTCTATCAAGTCACCTCTCATCCTTCTTCGTTCTAAAGAGAAAAGCCCTAGCTCTCTCAACCTTTCCTCATAAGACCTTCCCTTCTTTCCAGGAAACATCCTGGTAAATCTTCTCTGCACCTTTTCCAACACTTCCACATCTTTCCTGTAATGAGGCGACCAGAACTGGACACAATACTCCAGATGGGGCCGAACCAGGCTTTCATACAGCTGGAGCATAACTTCACGGCTCTTGAAATAAATCCCTCTATTAATGAAAGCTAACACACCATACGCCTTCTTAACAACTCTATCCACCTGGGTGACAGCTTTCAGGGAACTGTGGACATGAACCCCAAGATCCCTCTGCTCCTCCACATTGCCGAGAATCTTTCTGTTAACCCTGTATTCTGCTTTCAAGTTTATCCTTCCAAAATGAATCACCTCACACTTTTCAGGGTTAAACGCCATCTGCCACTTCTCAGCACAGCTCTGCATCCTATCAATGTCCCTTTGTAACCTAGACAGTGCCCTCTGCACTGTCCACAACTCGACCCACCTTCGTGTTGTCCGCGAACTTACTAATCCACCCTTCCACTCCTTCATCCAAATCATTTACAAAAATCACAAATAGAAGAGGACCCAGAACAGATCCTTGTGGTACCTCACTCGTAACTGAGCACCATGTTGAATATTTTCCGTCCACTACCACCCTTTGTCTTCTAAGGGTCAGCCAATTCTGAATCCAATCTGCCAGATTTCCCCCTGTCCCATGCCTCCTTACCTTCTGCATGAGCCTACCATGGGGAACCTTATCAAACGCCTTACTTAAATCCATGTATACCACAAATAGGTCCTGTAGATGAACGTCTTGTCCTGCAGGACAGGTTCTTGATTTCCCATGTCGGTTTTTGTTAGTTGGCCAAAGTTAGTTGCTGCCTTTCCAGCTGAACGTTTCATCAAGACAAAGGTGATCTGTCACTAGTAGATCTAAGGCTGCAGAATTTGCTGACTGATTGCCTTTTTGTGAGTTATAGTCTGATGACAGGCAGAGACTCAACGCCCTGCCCCATAAACATAGTTTTCGTCACAATGATGGCAAGGGAGATTATGACAGACGTGGAACAGAGGATCTCTGAGCCTTTGGAACTAATCTTCTACCTGGGCGACTAATGCAGTATCATCGACAGAAATGTTCTCTGCTCGGGACTTACAGCAACTCTGTCTTCTGTTTCTGTCTTGATAGATTGAGGAGTTTCCTTTCTGATTATGTGTGGGACTTCATTCCCTCCATTGATTAATTGGTTGATTTATTGTTGTCATGGGTTGAGACAGAGTGAAAAGTGTTGCTTTGCATGCTATACAGGCAGATTGTATTGTACAAAATGCAGTGGGGTAGCAGAACAGAGTGCAGAATACAGTGTTACAGCCGGGGAGAGAGAGAGCACAATTAACATTTAAGAGGTCTATTCAAAAGTCTGATAACAGCGGGGAAAAAGCTGTTCTTGAATCTATTGGTACATATTTTCAAACTAAAGGCTGGAAGAGAATATAACCAGGGCGGGAGGGGTCTTTGATTATGCTGGCTACCTTCTCGAGGTAACGGGGAATATAGATGGAGTCAATGTTCCATGTTGTCAGGGAAACATTTAGATCAGCCTGAGAGAGAAAAGAGACCAAACAAACAACTCATTCGTTATGTAAATGCTTTTCCTGTTACCAAATAGACTTTCCAAACCGATAAAATTCTAACAGGACAAGACAGGATAAATGTAGGAAAGATGTTACTGATGACCAGGGAGTCCAGAACTAGGAGTATCAGTTGAACGATATGAGAAAGGCCATTTAGGACTTAGATGAGGAGACGTTTCGTTACCCAGAGAGTGGAATTCATTGCCACAGAAAACAGTTGATATCAAAACATGGAATGTTTTCAAGAAGGAACTAGATGTAGTTCTTAGGCTAAAAGGATCAAAGGGTATGGGGTGAAAGTGGGATCAAGGATGCTGAGTTGGATAATCAGCCATGGTGATATTTAATGTCAGGGTGAGGAGTTGAATGGCTGAAATAAAATGGGGCAGTGTGATGCTGCGGTAGTGGTGGTTGTCGGTAACCACTTGCAAATAAGTCTGATTGTCCACTGGGGAAACCCCATGTCACTGCTCATGGATTCTGTGCGTCCTTCTGTAGCTGATGAGCCCGATCCTAGAGCCACATCTCCGACCGCACGTCTCACAGCTGTTCCCAGGAGGTGAAAGCGGTCCTTGGCCTTGGGATCATTGCCAATCCTTTCTCCTGCTCCTTTGCCTAACTGCCTCCTGCCGATGGGTATTCTCAAAGAATTGTGCCTCTTCATGCAGGAGTCTCCACCAAGTCGGTTTCTGCATTGCATTTCTTCAGGGAGGCCTACAGGGAACCTTTGAAATGTTTAAAGTTTTAGCAAAGATCTGTAGCTCGGGTTGCGGGTGAGGTTGTTGACTTGTTCTCCGAGCTGTCTTGTTCTCGTTCAGACATTTTATTACCATACTAGGTGACATCATCAGTGAGGCCTCCGATGAAGTGATGTTATTCTACTCTGTCTGGTTAATACTGTCTGGTCTGTTACG